GCGGCTGAGGCTTCTCTCGCTGTGTTCGCGCTCTTGCTGCTGGCCCGGTGCGGCTCGAGGCGTGGCGGGGCGTGGCGGGGCGTGGCGGGGCGTGGCGGGGCGTGGTCGGAATACGCGCCACCCGAAATAGCAACGCGTGCACCAAGAGCCCACCGCTGCAGCGTGCGTCGTCCCACTGAATTTTAGAGGGTACTCAATTTGGGCCGCAGGAGAGGAGGAGAGGCGTGGAAAGAGAGGAGAGAGAGAGAGAGGGAGAGAGCGAGACTATGGGAGATGAGAGAAGTGGAGGACGAAAGAGAGACAAACGAGTCATCGACCTCGTCACCACGTCACTCATCATTATCGGATCATCATCGCCGAGCCCCCCATCGGCCTCGCTCCACGCCGCGCCATCTAACAATCAGGCCCGTCCGTCCGCCCGTCCGCCCGGGCGCGAGTGCGAGGCCACCCGGGCGCACACACATCGCACCACTCATTGATTAATCCTTGAAACGAAAACGCAAAATTGAAAGCCACAGACAGACAAGCAGAGCCAGACGTTGGCGTCCTCCTCTTCACAATGAATGCGATCTCTCAAAGTCCCTCGCCGGGCAGGGCGCCTGGGAGGTAGGCATCTGTCGTGGAGAGACGCACACCGGTGCCCTGCGGGCCTGCCTACCCGACAGGCGCTCGCTCAAGCAGCTCGGCATTGCAGCGACACACCGAGGGGTGGACCATTTGGATATTCCATGTACAAACTGAAAAATATTCCAACATTACTTCAGATCCAGATATTCCAAAAACATTCCAGATATTGCAAAAATTATTGTAGATATTCCACAGATTATTTCAGATATTCCACAAATTATTCCAGATATTCCACGTACGTCAAAAATTTGAGACGTCGACCCCTTGCGACGTATAGTGGACTCAAAACATGCATCCTGCATAGTTGTTCACCACACACACTCACAGACCACAGCTACTGAAAATTTTGGATGCAAAATACGTTGTTGGTGACATCACTATCACTATGGCGTCATCGCGACTTTTTTTCTATCCTCGTGATACTTAAGTTAGCGGGCCGTGCCTTGCGGGCCTCTCCGCGCCCCCACAGCCCGCTGGCTGGCCCGGGTGGTTTGTTAGCCGGTGCAATGGGCCGTGATGTCGGCCCAGGCCAGGCCAGGCCACCACCACCCTGCGCCGCCGCCACCTCCTGGGGGGGAGCTCTGCGGGCGCGGGGCACACAACCTGGCTGTGAGTGACGTGGAAGTGACGTCCGCGGCGCCGGGGCCGGCCGCGAGTGACGAGGTGATTGTGGGGGGAACGCGAGGCTCCGACACAGCCGATCGCGGTGCTGAGCCCCAGGTAAGTGCGCGGTTCCGGTCAATTGGAGCCGCCGCCACCGCGGTGAGGGACGCGCCGGGCCGGCTCGGCTATCTCGGCAGGATCCGGCCCATTGAACTCCCCAAATATACCTCTGCCGCGTCGAATAAGTCAGGGCGG